AAGTGGGAGTGGGAAAAAGGGAAAGAGTTGTTGATTGGCAGCGTTCCCTTGCGGAAGAATAGTTTTATGGCTTAAAAAAATTTGGGTTCAATAATCGAGGATGAATTAATTTTTCTAAATGTTTTGTTGCTTGCAGAGTGCAAAGATGAACCAGCGGCACATGAGACCTGCGCGAAAGTACTTAAAGAACTTGGCATCCAGGTTTGCCATGTCAAGATCGAACAGCTGAGATACAAACTCGAGAGGAGCTGTGCAAAGACTTGCAACTATTGTAAGTAATGCCGTTGAAATAACACGCATATTTGAGAGGTTCTGCTACCATTCTTGCCCTTCGCTTTACCTAAATAATCAAACCACAGTCACTTCCCGTGCAGTTGCCGTTACACTAACTCTTCTTACATTTTCGCTATTTACAACTTTTGGTTTTACTTTTTGCCTACTAATAAAGCCCACAATAATTTTGTATTCAGGTGGAGAACCTGAGATGAGCTGTAGAAGAACCAGAGACTGTTGTTGGGACAGATTCACACCGCGTGGCAGAGTAAGCTGCCCAGGTAAGAAAAATTAGCAATTACAGCAAAGATACAAAGGGTTATCTGTACCCTTTATTTTTGTTTCCTTTTCGTTGGCTATCAAAAAGAGCTTTGCAGAAAGCGACCATGGACTGCGACTTGATGTAAGAAATCTGTGTTCACTGATTCAGTTTAGAGCCTGTTGCTCTTGTGGGAAGGACTCGTGCTTTTTCTCAATAAACCCCCAGTAACCTTACATGTTTCAGAGTCTTTGTCGTAACTGGCTCTATAAAGCAAAAACTATTTCTAAAAAACACACACCATCACAAATTAGTCAGTTACCTTATTGGAAAATTGCATGATTGTTTTTCATGCTAGTAACTTCGTCCAGAACTTTAGTTTTCCCTCTTAACTCCTTAAATCCTAAGAGTGACCAGCATCCAAACTTTCCTTACAGTAATACAGCTGAATCATTCATCATTATCATGAGAATAAAGGAAATGATCGCCAACCTCAGATGCTTTGATTGTAAAACAAATTTTCCCCGTCTAGACCAAAGAAGACGTGTAGAGAAGAGTGTACAGAATATGGATACTGATGTTAGGGTGCAAAGGGTTGACCCTTTAACTCCCAAGATCTGATTGTTAATTCTCCCCTGTAGCTGCTACACATTTCCTTGTAAATTAGTTATGAGAAATTGGTGCTAGATCAAGATAGCAGCTTCTACCTGATAAGTTTGAATATTCTCATCACCTGTTTGTTGAAGAATGTATGGATACTGTAGGAAGAAGTTTTATTTTAATCACTTCTGCGAGTTAAAGGGTTATCTACATTTCAATTTCGTTTCCTCATTGGTTAGAATGCAAGGATCACATGCACCTCTGCAGAAGATTCAAAAGATTCTGTAACTCAGCAAAGGAGGAGAACAAAGAATTTATGGAACTGCACTGCCCAGTGACTTGCGGAAAATGCAGAGGTAGCATCGGAGCGATAAGAAAGGGGCGACCTGTTACCATGCGCGACTGGAACAAGCTTTGATTTCATCAAAGGTGGGTAGTAATTAAGTCTTTCTTTTGGAGCGTTTTTAGATTGTGTTTCCATAACCAAAGTAATCTCGACGGCTAATCAGAAGCACAGAAAATGTCTTTTCAGAGCCGATAAGAACTCACTCAAAGGATAAACAACCAAACGGACTAAAGCGCGCGAAAACGCAGGTGACTCAGTCATAATTGGTTTTAGTTTAAAGTCTGATCGGTTAATAAAGTGGCGCGAGTTTCCTGTACCAATTACGGTGCAAAGTGAAGAGAACAGATTACTTTCAACACAATTTGAAATTGCTCTAAAAATACCAATAAAAGAATGCTCAAAATCTTGGGTGCAAAATTGTATTTATTTTACTGACCTAAAGGAAACCTAGGAATCAAAGAATGGACACGGTGAAAAAACGCAATCTCGGCTAGGAAACTCGCATTTTTCTGCGTTTCCGACATTTTTTTTCACGTTTTAGTTTGAGCAGATCTCGTCGTCTTCTATTTATGGCATTTTCCTTAAGTCTGACTGGCTGATGTGATGATGGCGAGTCAAATACAAGGGAACTCAAACCGAAAGGGCTTTAACTCTCGATAACATCAGTGTGCATATTCTCCATACCGATTTATACATTTCCTAAGGTGCTGACGAGGAGAGTTTATTTAGTAAACGAGAGCCTCTTAAGTTGGTGATCATTTCTTCGATTACCCTGAACGTGATGTATGATTCAGGGGTGAAACTGTCGGGAGAAATAACATGAAAGTCTCTCAAGGGTCAAAAGTAAACAGCTTGTTCTCTTTACTCCGTCATCCTTTATTATCAATACATTTTCGCGGAGAAAGGCAACTCGATAAAGAATATCACCAATTGATAGTTTTGGGAAAAATTTTAAAACCATATTTTCAGATATGCAAGTATAAGAAATTTGTGGCAGAAAAATCCAGGCGCTGCATATCATAGTGTCTAAAACTTCCACTGTTGTTTTCTTTTCTCAGATTGTGTCTGAACCGCAATATAAAGTTGGTGGACAGTTCTCACTTCCATGAATTTGACGTACGATCCGTATTTTGACGAGGCACCAGTTTTGATTAAGGAGGACTTCCGTCGGAAATTACCAGGAATGTGCGGATGATGTTTGATGTAAATGTAAATAAAGACTTGAGTAACATCTATGCGCTCAAATCAGGAGCGCCCTTCACATCGGGAAAATAATTGTTACTGATAGGCAATGTAGATGTACAGCATGAATTACGTGTAAATTTGTTCAAGTTGTTTTAACGCGTTTTGCCAACATCTACTATTTATACAAGTCTCGGACCAATCGAGGTTACAGATACTTTGCATTGTGTTTTTGTTGAACGAAATAAATATGATTAAACCTCAATAACCGGAGCAGATAGTTCACGTAGCTTCCAAAGGGCTTATTGCAGCTTCCTTTGCTAGTTAAATACAGCAAATCCCCAAGAAAGACGCCATGTGTAATGTTAGTTCTTCTTGATTATGGTTTGACTTTTCTCTGAAAAAGGTAAAAATTTCACTGACAAACCGAATAAATAATTTTGCAAATTAGACCTGAAAACAACCGCTGACCTCCCCTCACAAGAGTCCTCTCCGCGCTTCTCCTGCAGCGAGTTGGAATTGATAATTCGGCCATGTATCATGGAAAAAGGATTGATTTTCTTGGAAACCCAACATCGGCTTGTTGTTCAATTTCATTACTTCTAATCGTTTGATAAAATGCGTTCCCTGTTCTTGAAATATACCAGATAATTCAAAATAATAGAAAATGATTGAAGTATATTCATTCACAAACTAAATTCAACCTGCATTACAAGAGGAAACAATAAATTCGACAGAAATCTATCACTAGTACCAAACAATACATGAGTAATTGTCACATGATTAAAATGAAGTTGAATTGGTCTATTGACCCAAACACCCTAACATCAGTCGGCATATTCGCCATACTGTTCCCAATACATTTTCAAGGTTGCTTACTAAGAGAATGAGTTCAACAATCGAGATCTTCCTAAGTTGATGATCACTTTATTTACTCTCTTGGCCATAAAGTGTGATTTAGAAGTGACACTGTAAGGAGAAATAAGCCTCTGATCACGCTAAGGGGTCAAAAGGTAAACGAATTGAGAACCATTTCGAGCTCCCTTTCTGAACTAGCGTGTGCAAGACGCAGTTCACCCTCTTTACTCTCAATACCTGAATATCCCTTTTAGCTCTGAGGATTTGAGGCGTGGAAAAAAACTACAAATGAACTTTTAATCAGTGGCACCATATTAACTGGTCATCCTGAATTAAGTGGTCAGTTGCCTTAGTCCCCAATTTGTTTCCCCTTAATCACTACAGTTTTCACCTCTGTTAAGCGGTCACTGCTATTAGGCGGTTGTCATCACCCTTTAATTTACCAGGTCCCGACGGCCTGTTTGTACTGTCTTTTACCTGTACGGAACGGTCATTTAAAGCCAAACCACTCAAAATAAAACTAAGAATAATCTTTCAAGTAATTTTCAATTCACGTTTCTCTCCCAACATCAAAGTATCACCAGTATTATTTTTGAGCGAGATTCTGTACATTAAGTGGTCAGTTAAGGTATAAAGTGGCGTTGTGTATTTTTTCATAATACCCCATATCTGTGAAACTTGTATTAAACAGTCAACGTGTACTAAACGTTCACCCCACCATTACTCGTGGGTGACCGCTTAATTCAGGTATGACAGTTCATCCTTTAATTACAGTTTTCATTCTTCTCATCATTTTTCTATTTGAAAGAGAAATAATATCCTAAGAAGAGATTACATCTTAGTGACTATTTGAGTGAAAGGGCCAATATATTTGACTCCGAATCCAAGAACTAACATGTTGTAAGGTCGTGTTCACGCAACACACATTACTCTCAGAGTGCATTTCCTCTCAGGGGTGGGGTTACCTGCCATAGATTAGCACCCCATTGAAGGTGAGCAGCGATACTCATATTAGTAACCTCAAACTACAGAAACCGAGAGAAGCTTATGCTCTGAAAGCCGTTTGACAAGTGTACAAGATCTACGTGGAAACAAGACAGCTTCGAGTCCTTGTGAAGTCGCATTTTTCGGGAATTAATCAGAGAGATACAAGCATCTTCTCTTCAATGATACCGACAAAAAGACCACTCTACAATGAAGTAATCATAAAAGTCTTGGGTCACTTTGACAAAGTGTGCACAACTAGAGTATCCTTTTTCACGCGCCATATCAAATCCTAATTCCTCACAGCACCCCCCCCCCCCCTTTTCCCTCCAATTACTACGTTTTTCTTTGACAGTTTAATCATTTCATTCGCTCTAAGCGTTGCATTTTTTAAGGGAGGGGGGGCATTATAACTCTGTAATACCACAACCTAAGGTATTCGTGATACGAAACATAGGATACGTGCTTCTGGATTGTTTTTTCTAAGGATTTCCCCAAAAAGTTCCGCCTAGATTGTAAATAAACCTTCCCTACTGAGAAGTCTTGAGCCTCTGTGCGTGAGTATGGGGTTTGTCACGCGACGGGGAATGGGATAATGACGAACTATTTCACGAAACTATACATCACGCTTCCTTTTCAAGTCGATCTGCGGAACAGAAAAGTTAAGGACGAACATTTTCTCTGATTCAAAACAAAATAATATTTAAGTAATAAGAAATAGACCTAAAGAGAATGCATTTTACACTGGAAAAAAGTGGTCATCACCTTTGCGGTCGGCTTATGAAAAGCAAGACAATCAGCAACTCACACGTTTTGGATTATTATAACATCAGCAGAAGCTTCTGGAGAATTTTTAAAAGGTGTTACACGTGTCTGTACAGGTTTAATAACAGGGGAACTAAGAATGGAAAATACTCAAATACATTTTTAATTTTGTGCAGAACGGGCTATTTCAGGAAAGGTACGTCGATGCATATCGTTGTATAATCGTGCGCGACAATCGTTTTTTCTTTCATGGTAATAGCAAGAAGATCTTTATCAATTCAATGAACATAACGTGACATTAACTTCTACCTGAAATGCGTGCAGAGAAAATCATTTTCTTATCTTTTCTGATATCGACCACGCCCCGCTTAGAACTGATATATAAACCCATCGTCAAACATTTATCAAGCATTCTTTTTCTTCTTATCCAAAAGACGAGTAGATAACCACGTTCAACATCCACGAGGCATGGCAACTCTAGAGAGGGGTTTCTTTTTATTCTTCCTCGCCGTGGTTTTGATCCTCTGTCAATCTTTTGCTCAACGTTCCACAAGTAGGGCCAACAGAAAGCTGGCAGAAACGAACAGGCTACGGAACGGAGAAGGTAAGAGCAACCATCTAAAAGATTAACACAAAGCATCTGTGTAAGCGTAGCTTTTCCACAGTCTATTCGAAGAGTCGAATGGATAACTCTGTCAGGGGTTGATCCACCGGTTAAAACTTGATTGAGCCAATTAGGAAAACAGAAAGGATTTTACCGATATTTCACTCTATTTGGCATTTTACCGAGAAGAACATTCTGGATGACTAGGCCACTTACGTGTCGAGTACTTTTTTGAGACAATGTTTATTTTTTTTGCTTCCCCTTTCTCTTCTCACACTCTGGAAGGATTGAAAAAATAACTCACTGTATGAAACAAACTTACCTCTCATTGTACATTCCACAAGCTTTTAAACTCAAATGGGAAACAGAAGTTTGGTCGCGAGAAAGATCAATTCACACGCCATAGAAAGTTGTTGTTTCTAAAATGTTCAAGGAACAGTAGTAGTTTTGTTTTCAGTAAACGCATGCGCTTTCAACTCTGAAAACAAGGGTACCTTTCATTAACCATCCCATAGGCTTTTGCATTTAAATGAAAAACAGAAGCAGTACATTCACGGGAATTAACAGTTCCCAAACCATAAATGGTCTTATAGCTTAAACGTTCGAGGAATACTTTTGATTTCTTTTCGGTGCACGCAAACATTTTCAAGACTTGCAGCAAAACGAAACGAAGCTTAAAACATTACGATATGTCCATTATTGGACCGGAATCATTGATACATTCTTCTTTAACCAAAATCGGTTTTCACTATATCTGTACAGCTATCTATACATTAAGCTAAATATTTTTAGTCACAGAAGTGAATACAATTTGTCGAAGCCTTTTTTTTTTAATATCTAAAATTTTTAATTTCATGACTGTATCAGTAGGCAGTGGTGGACAAAGACTGAATAGATTTATTTAGATGCTTTCGTAAGGAAAGACTTTATACATATCTGATATAGGTCGTCAATCTTTCTTCTTTTCCAATGCCAAAAATAAAATACAGACATTAACACGTACATGGCCGTAAAAGCCTTCGAAGGTTAAGTGGCTGTACTCCCTTGAGACAAAGTTCATCATTTTTCTGTTTTTGACGGCTAAGCTTAAAACTTTTCCGTCAATCTTAAGCGCACACACATGACGTTTTCCACAGTGCTAATCACTTGTCTCATGTCAACATAGTATATGAACTAACTCACCACAGAGGTGTTTGTAGCTTAGTCATTGCACTATCCTATCTCGAAATCGGAATATATGACACTCGTATTTTATGGTATTCAATATTTCCTTTCCTTTCTTTTTCCTCACACCGAAACGATTACGAGATGTTTATCATCCGAAAGTAGAAAAACAAAGGGTCTTAATGAACTTTCACTCTAGATTCCGGAAGCGTTTGAACCAAACCTTTTCGGCACGTCATAAAATGATATTCTAACTCGCATGCCCTTAAAAAAAAACATCAAAGATGTCATTAAAAATAAAAAATATATATATATATATCTATATATAATTGTGGGAAATTGTAGCAAATGCTATTGGAAAGTGCTCAATACACATGAGTGTAGAGCGAAATACAATTCAAAATGACTGAATGAAACACGCATGATTCCCCGTAACTCTAAGTTTCGTGCTTACGCACTCGTCAGACAGATTTAAATCTGTCTGACGAGTGCGTAAGCACGAAACTCAGAGTTACAGGGAATCATGCGTGTTTCATTTTGGTCATTTTGAACTGTTTATATATATATATATATATATATATATATATATATATATATATAGGCTGAAGGGTTGGTTCATGTCCGCAGATAGACCAAGAAAGAAATATCATTTTACCGTGACAACCAAATCGGTTTTCAATTTAACCACATCTGTATTGCATTGAAGCAGATCACGCAACAGGTACATACTCTACAAGTTTGTGTTAATTTTTGGTGCCCTTTATACAAAAGGTTTAATTTCAGACCTACCGTAACTGGACAGCGGGTGTCTCTAAAAAGAGATCGGTTTCCGTGCACCCTTATGTAAGGTACTTAAACTATTAGTTTCGCATTTACATTCAAAAGGAAGCAACAATCAAACAAAATAAAATCGGTTTTTCATGATAATCGATGAAAGATGGTGCAACAGATGAATACTCAGCAAAGTGTGTCAATTGTCAGAGCCCCCTTAATTTAAAGCTTTAGTTTCTGACCAGCAAGAACCGCTTTGAGCACATTTGTTTTCAAAAGTTCCGTGAGAGGAGTGCTCAATCTACCTATTCCTCTATTTCCAGTGCAGTAAAATCATCTAGATATTTGCAGTATTAATTACTGCCAAATTTTTCCTCCACGCGTTATGATAAACACTTCTCAATTTATCACTTGCCGATCTCAACGACCTTGCTTAGTTTAAAAGAATCACAGTAACAAGTTAACTGATCACTACAAGTTAAACTTTGACTGACGAATATCAGATGTTCCTTTGGTACCAATTTTAGACACCGTACTGATACCATCAGTTTTAAAAATGAAAACAATGACGGAAAGATCTAAATATTTTACAGTCATGTAGAGATTTTCCAACCGATATGTACCCTTAAGGAATTTTAATCCTTAAGTTGAAAAAAAGTAATTAATTTGTTTGCAATATCTTTCTATCGTCATGTAAACAAGTTATGAACTGAGTAAACTATTAGTTACAAAGTGTCTTCTTCACAGGAGTCAAATTCTATGGACTTGTTTACCAAAAATGTATAAAAACCTGAAGGTAGAGATACGATCAAATTTTTACATCACTTCAGAAGACTTAGCGGTCGTTTCACTGTGAAGTCACGAAAAGGAACATTTGCCAAAATAAACTTCCAGAGTGTCATATCATTAGCTAACGCACGGAAGATATAAAGGCAGTGCGTACAACACTTTAAACAAAGTGTTAAAAGATAAAATCTAACGTTGACGTTGTGAATTTTCTCTCGTAGAATGCAAAGACAAAGGTTCACACAGTACTTGTAAGAAAATTATCAACGAACTGGGATATAGAGTGTGTTACACGATCATTAGTCAGCTAAAACTCAAGCTGGAAAGAAGCTGTTCCGCTAGTTGTCATTATTGTAAGTAGCTCTGTCCAGTGGTGCATCCACGAAATATAACCCTTGCAATAATCCATGTAGCACAGTAACCGAATAAACAACTGACCAAAAGAGCAATAAAATGAAGACAATTATTTCATAACCATGATAAAAATGGCATATACAGGAGTGACATCCGTCTTGATAAAAAAATTGACAACGCGCTTCAACGAAAAACACTTGGTTTAAACTCAAAGGGTGTGTCAGTTGCCAGTCGAAATCCTTTAAGCATTTTCCAGTGCCACCTCTGAATAAGAAGGAATAAGGGTGAGTCCTTGTTACGAGGTTTTCTTGGAACCAGGTTGCTACCCAGACATGAACTCAGAAATGCCCAAGTCAATATTGGCTTTAAGCTTCTCATCACAGTTAAAAATACACCTGTATGTAAGACTGGGATAGGAAAAAAAATGATTGATAACTGATCCACAAAGCGAGGAATGACGCTTTTTTTAAGGAAGTGAGAAATCTAAAGAATCCAGAATAACAGCAATAATAAATAAAGTTGATATTGTTTGTCAAGGTGGAGAACCTCTCGAAAACTGCAGAACAAACAGGAATGGATGTTGTTGGGATGGTAGAACAACCAGTCAAGATCCCTATGGCATAAAAGGCTGCCCTGGTAAGTAAAATAGCAAAGTAAAAAAATGCTGCTACTGAGATGAAAGGCTCCTGAAACTCAGCTCAAGGAGTACCGCATTAACCTAGACAAGAGAGTTTGGTCACAGATACCAGTGGCGGATCTAGGAGAGGGCCCCCCTACCTCCCTTATTTTGGATAAAAAAAAAGAATCGCAGAAAGAAGAAAAGCCGGCAGGGCTAGCGACAAAACCCTCCCCCCCCTCTTCGTAACTTCTCTCAGTGATCTAAGCATGGTGAATAAATGATAAGCTTTAGTGTCAGGATTTTCTACAATAATTTATGAATATCCCCTCAGTACACATACAAAACGAAGGGGGACTCTTAACGTATCAATGTCCTCACTGGAACAACTGTGGTTCTTTAGAATATATTTACTCCTCACTACGGAGAGGGAAGGGTGAAAGGGATTACCTCGTTAACCTTTTGACTTCTCAAAGTGACGAGCATCTAATTTCTCCTTACAATACCACTGCCGATCAAACATCAAGGTCATGAGAATAAAGGAAACGATCGCCTATAGGAGAAGCTCTTGATCGTTGTGTAAATTCTTCTTGCTTGTACCATGGGAAATTATTAGAGAACAGTATGGAGAATATACATTTTGATTTTACGATCTAAGGGTTAAACGTCACACCTGCTTCAAGTCCATTGTGACGGTGGCACACGCATATTACTGCTCTTTTTGACCATTTGTTCAAGAAATCTAAAATTCATATATCTATATGGTAACCTTGATTCAAAAACCCCGACCGTAACAATCGATTTGATTCATTGGTTGCGTTGCTCGTGATACTCCGAGTTTCGTGCACGAGATAACATTTAGCGTCTGCGAAGCCGCAAGAAAACCGTTTCAACTTGCCAAATTATTTAAACTCTCCTTGCGGTTAGTGTGTCTGTGGACTGAAATTGTGTTGTGCCATCTCGTGAGCAATTCTTTAATATAACCCAACAATCAAGGAAACCGGTCATAATCGATCGTCCGGGAGTTAAAGGATTTTGGTGTGTCACAGAATTTAGCTGATCCCCCATCTAAGGCTCTGTAATATTTTTCTTTTCCTCTCCTCACTGGCAGGTAATTGGCGGTCAATTTTCTATAGTCCCTCTTTATACTCTGTTGGTGAAGACTGATCCCCCTCCTTCCCCTATGAAAACCATATGATCCCCCAAAACCCAACCCCCCCCACCGGCGATAATGATTGGTCCCTAACGGGGAAGCCCAAATTCCCGATAAATGAATGACGCTATTTTCTGATTGTGCTTTTTTTTCTTTGGGCGGTGTCTATAGAGTGCAAGGATCATTTTTCTTTGTGCAAACGATTCAAGAAGTTTTGCACACAGTCACGACCAGAAAATATCGAGTTCATGGAGTTTCACTGTCCATTGACTTGCGGCAAGTGTAATCACAGGAATTTGCCAATAAACGGACAGAAAATCCGGATGGACGATTGGAGGAAAATTTAATTGCTGAACTAAGAAGGTAAGTAAATCGACTTTCATTGCAAATCGCGCACCTAGAAAAAAATGCTGAAGAAGGCCAAAGTACGTGAACTTCCTCGTTTGTTAATCTGTTGCCATTTTCTTAAGTATAAACACGTCTAACTGTTTAAATTGTGAGCAGTTCCTCCTTTCAGCTAAAATAAGTCATCAGCCACGCTTGGATCAGTTAGCGCGGTTAGGAAAGCTAACAGGTGAACGAGGTTGGGTCAGAATCATGATAATCTAAAGTATGAGTAAAAGGCTTCAACACTGAAGTAGGTATTACTGAGTTATAATGATCAAAAGTTCGTTTCTCTTTCAGAGATTTGGTGGATGGCAAAGTCCTCTCACAAGATGGAACGTCAATATCCTTAGGCCTGTTGTTACATTTAAATGTGAGGTTGCCTTCAAATCAATGACTATGGAGGACCAATACTTTCATTACACTCTTGCTAGCTGGATGGTGATTTTGGGCAAATTTTGAGGGAGCGTCGAAAAAAATCCAAGATTGTATTGATTTTAATTTCCTTTGCACTGTGATTGGTCTGGAAAGTTCTCGACAACGTTTAAACCAAATACATGCTGCATTTGTTTTTTCAGCAATTTAGACAGTTTTCTGAGAAGTTCGCTTTTTTTTACTTTGAGTTCACCTCCTCGCCGTAGTCATATTCTCCTCTGTTCGTTTAAGATGTAGTGATAACTTTTTAGTTTTACAACGCTCAATTTTATCTAGATTTTTATCGCTCCATCCATGGTATCTAGTTATCAGAGTATAATCAATCGAAATGTGCTCTGTCCGGTAGATATGGCGTTGTATGCAAAAATTAATGCCTAAAGGTTAGCAGGACAATATTTAGGAATGCTTAAATAGCTTAATGCTGTAATAAAAAATATTTGAAAGAGATATTTGGGCAATAGAATGCTTTGCTTCATTAACAGTCTATCGCCGTAAAAATGCGATAACATTTTTAATTTACGAGCCGAACACCCCGAGTCGGACGAACACCAAGCGGCCATCGACGATTGCCCTGGAAGTGTCTGCTTAACTGCGGCGGGTTTACCTACTGGAATAAGCAGATCGCGGGATATTCAAGGGAAAGAAGCCAAGTTTCTCGGGTCGATTTTCGCAAGATGGGACGGTGCTGTTGAAATATATCACCTCAACAGCGATGAGTTTGACTCAGACTTCGCTGATGTTGCCAGGTTTATCATTTAAGCGTTCAGGATTCAATTATCTCGCATTATTCTCAACAGTGCGTGACCAAAACGCTTTGTGATGGTCGGCTTTTGCCGCGAAGCGCTCAGTATCAAACTGGAAGAACACAGTGCGGAGGCCCACCGGGTGACCTAGCCCCTTAAATTAATGTAAATTTTTTCACGGTACACAAACTATCGGTGCGTTCCTTTGGGAGGATCTGGATTAGGTTTTGTGATACAAGATCACACAGATCACGGTGCATCAAAGGAACGGAGCTACCACGGCAGCAGGCGCGAAATTGTAGAGCGCGTCAGCGGAGTCGCGCGCTAAATTTAAAAACGAAAACGAGATGGCCACCGCGGATAGAGCAGCTGTTGTTTCGTCAATAGAAGAACTTTCCGATGATTCAACACTACAAGAAGCGAGAAGTTGTGAAGATGAAGAATTTCTATTGTTTCTTTTGATAAGGGAAAGGCAGAGCCATGTCCGCATTGAGCATTATTTCAAACGTATTAAGCCACTCTACATTGTTTCAGATTTTTAAAGTCATTTTCGGATGTCAAGAACTACAGTCAGTGTTTGGAACACCTGTCAGCTACTTGCCTAATTCTGCCTCATGGACAAAGGAATGGAGGGAAACCTACCTTTGACTTACAGAACAAAGTATTGATTACGATATGGATACTTGGGAACCCTTAATGCCTGCGATCAGTGGCCGATCGATTTTACATCACAAAATCGATTTTAATTTCGTGTTTACCGCAGAATTTGTGGAGCGATGGCCAACAATCTTTCCGGTCAATATATGAAGTACGTACTTGTTTGAAATTGAGCATTGCTGGGCAAAATGATTAATTTCGGATCCTTCGCCCAAAGGAACGCGTTGGATCAATGATCCAATGATCCGTCTTTAGATCGCGCAGATCAGTGATCCGATGAATCCTTGTCCAGAGTAGATTTGATAGATCATTGATCTGAAAATAGATTTGCTCGAAAGGAACGCCACAGATCAGAAATCCTGATCCGGATTCTCCTAAAGGAACGCACCCTGAGTCAGATCACCTTTGTGACAGGCTTTTGATGATGTTTCGAAATTTTGTTTATTTTGCTGGCGCTTTTATTGAAACGCTGATTTCGTGGCTACATTCCTTTAAAGTAGATCTTCAAAGTTTTCCCAGATTAAAATTTAAAACAATTAAATACCCAACGGTGAACTAAATGAACACACTGCTAGCCAAGCGTGTTAAGCCGTCAGAGCAGAGTGCATTTTTCAAATAATTAAATTCAAACTCACGAAAACAATAGAATTTCTAAAGGACATCACATTCGGAAAACCTATAGCAAATAGTGACATACATTTCGCAGATAAAAAAAAAATTGTTTTCGGCGAAATATTATTATTTCAATACAAGGTACGAGTGTTAAAATTGGATGTAAATTCAAAAGTTTGAAAAAACTGCGTGACAAAGACACAAAACAAAAATCATTGAAAGTAAACAGTCCAGTTTTTACTAACCGTGGGATATTTGTTTATGCAAAGAAATATTTCAGCATGACAATCTGACCATTTACAGAATCGCTAGAAATTTGCGCGCGTTTTGACTTGGTATGTCAAACCGTCACAGCTAAGCGTAAACGCCACGACTCTAAAAAGAAATATATCGATCTGTGGAAGTTTTCGTAAGTGGGCCTATTATCATGACTAAATCTAGCCTGTACTTCAGTGAACCATTGCAATTTCGACATTTATAGCTGTTTTGGAAACATTTTCAAAGGTTTAGCTGGATGTTTTGGAAAAAAAATAAAATTCGTTTAGATAATTTCCCTAGTTCTGTCGCACCCTGTACAAAACCTGTTTGGAATACTCCCTCTTATGCATTGCCTCATGTCTAAGTGTTTGTCTCAACTTAGCGTTTGCATTTTTTCGTTGAGATGGAATAGAAGGTGACCATTTTGAGTGATTATGTTGGAGTAGGAGAGTCAAGACTGAAAATTTTGAAGTCGTAGAATTTCCTGATTTAAAGCACCGTGAATCCATCAGCCAGAGTTCTGTCCCGTTCGCCAAAGAAAACGTATCTTTCCATCACCTGGTTTTATTCTATTCCACAAGTTATAAAGGAGACAAAATTCAATTTGTAGTTAGACAGTTAAAAATTTTGAATCCATAGGCCACAGGTAGACAACCCTGTGGGTTTGAGGCCGCGTTACGTAAGCTATTTGATTCGCTAGTTGAACAATTAGATTGTTTGTAATATGCAACGGTCGATCTCGGCAAGACGGAAGTGATCCCGAGAAATGTTTTATAAATACCGCAAATCGTGACATTTCATCCTCAAAATCCGCCTAATGACAGTCAGATTAATGAAGTATACTTACATTCGTTTTTCTGTGTTGTCTCGTGTGATTTTGGGACGGTTAATTCTCCACTTTGCACCGACGCCCTTTCAAAAGCGAAGGAAAAACACAAGGCGTGCAACTTCCAGGACCGTCTGGGCCGAAAGCCTCCAGAACTTCGCCGAATTTCTTCCGCTACATGATGTGGACCGAAGTGGTAGATCATAAGCCTTCGATTTACCGTTTTACAATTCAAATTAATCATTAAGCGAGCTCAAATTTCGGTAGAAAGACGGTACAAACCAGCTTTCCCCTAAGACTTCCGTTCCGTAACCGGAAAAAAACATAAGCCAATCAGAACAAAGCTGTCATGTGTCGACGGCGGAGCGATGAGCGAAGGTCGGAAATCGAGCAGGTGGTTAGAGGCGGGCAATTGCTCTGAGTTTTGGCTTGGCTATTACACGTTTATCAATTTTTAACGTGCCCGAAGCTGGGAGGTGAGCAACATTTGGAAGCGGAAGAAATTTGGCAAAGTTCTAGAGGATTTAGGCCCCTAAGACGGTCCTGGAAGTAGCACGCCTTAACCGTCCCAAAACCCCGCAAAATCACTCGAGACAACACAGAAAAACAAATGTAAGTGAGCTTTATTTATCTGACTGTCATTAAGCGGATTTTGGGCATGAAAAGCCAAGGTTTGCGGTATTTATGAAACATTTCTCGGGATCACTTCCGTCTTGCCGAGATCGATCGCTGCAAATTAAAATTAAACTAGCGTATAAAAAATTGATGTCAAGCGGCCTAAAACCTACGGGGTTGTCTGCCTGTGCATAGACTCTTAAGTCGCAATCACTTTGCCATTTAACGGTTTTTAATGGCCTACCACACTAACGACAAAATTACGGATGGGTTGTCCCGACTTGACAAAATTTTTGCCGAAGCGGAAAAATTTTCAAAAGCACCGCCGACAAAATTTGTCCCGCGTAAAAGCTTGGCGAAAACAACCAGACGACTTGCATGGAAAAACTAGCATCGCCACCGCTATAAAATTTTTTAAATCTAAACTGATAAGCAGCGCTCTGCGTACAGTATTTGTAAAACTTCTATATTCTCCGACGCATTTCGTCTAACTGTCGTAAACTTCTTCATGGAGTTGTACAAGTTAACTCGAAACGCGGCAAGGCGGAAAAAATATTTGAAGGCCACAGTTTAGGTTTTCTTTTTTCGTCACGCACGTCACGCAACAAGTTACAAAACGTAAATATAACTCTTCTTGGTGCCTCTCCGGATGCCACCGATGCCTTTTCCGATGCCTCGATTGTTTATTACAGCAGTAAAAGATGTATGTACAATCAACACTTCTGAAAAATTGCTTAAAATTTTACTTAGCGAAGTTTACTGTTAACATTTCGGCTCCACAACACGATTTTTCTTTGCAACTACAAATAATCTGTCTCTATATAAATTATTAAAATTGTTTCACCGCTGACCACTCGTATTTCTTTCCCCGCTCGTCGCCCCCCTTCCGCGTGTTCGCGTGTTACAGCAGGTCTAAAAACATTCAACAGAATATCGAAGGTACCACGATCCATTCGCATTTTCCTTCTAAAAAACTACCCCCGGAATTGTTCAGTCATTTTAGTGGATCTCGAACCAAGACCGGTTTGGTCTTAGAAGTTTCCAATAGTAATGGTTGAGTCGACGTGCCCGACGTCCCCATCTTCTACGGTGTTCAATCATTAACAGAGTTGCTTGGTATCTATGAAATTGATGCCTTAATACTAGGCTCATTATAAGCATCATTTCGTCTGCCATCTGAGCGAAATTTAAATGCAAGAAACACGTCACAAGTTGAAGCATTTGAACACGTTCCACTATATAATTATCCCGCCAAAACGTTTGATGTTTTGGCGCGCATAGCTAAATTGAATAAATTACATTGAAATATAATAACGGTGTTATTTTTGGCTGTTAACCAAATTTGACAGCTTTTTAACAGCTTCGAAATTTTTAGTGCGGATGCAACAGAGGAGACAATAATTTGTCATGACAAAATTTGTCCTTTGATTTTATCAGTACAACTCTAGTTTTGTCTGCTAGTGCGGATAGGCACTAAGACGTCTATTATGTCATGTGTGACTTCCACTGACACTAATTCGGTTCCAAGCTAAACATAATTAGGGAAAGTCACGGAAAATTTACGTTGACCATTGCGCGCGTAAAATTATGTTCAAATTTTTAAAATAATGCAATAAACGAAGGTTGGCCAAGTTGGAATAGGTTCAATAAAAAAAAGTTAAAAGGCCGAACACCAAACAAATGCTTACAAAAGGTCGACATTTAATGATCACTCAATGAGGTTCCCACAGTTTTTT